CGGAAATCTACGGAAACAGCTCATGATTTACCGACTCAGGTTTGACTTCTGTCCCTTTTTTAAGTTTTTTATACGTATGCTATCACGTCAATGTTCTTGGGCAAGTTTCTTAATCTTCAATCTGGAATTTCATCTGCTTGTCACGAATCAGTTCATCTTTTCGATCGATTCGAATAGATTGAAGCCCACAGTCTATTCTAGTGAAAGGCATACGTTACATACGATACTCGCTCATCCCTGTTCTGTAAAACTTTTCTCGTCGGTTTTGACGACGACGGACGAACAATTTGTTCGTCTGTTCAGTTTGCATCGTGCTCTGTTGGATTGCATCATAATCATAAAGCAACAAGCGACGGCTGTCTGAGCCAGCAAAGTAACTTTCCTAGACGTCGTTCACGAAACAACTGTTTTCGCCCTAGTTGCAATTGGGCAGACTATTTTATTTATCGTGGGGAAGTACGGTGCAGACCCTTGGTTGATTGCGTAAAAATCCAAAATTCCATTTTCTTCAATTCTTAATTAAATTTTAACGTTGTTCTAAAAGTAAACTTGCCTGGCACTAAGAAACCCATATAAAGGCCCGCATCATCTTTTTTATTTACAGGGGCTATTTGGTGATCCACATTTGAAAAGCGCTGCTAGTTTAGCAGAATTGAACAGTCGAGTTCGTGCCGAATGTGCTGACCTTGTCAATCAAATTGAAGTCGGTAGCAAGGAACGAACCACAGTTCAACTTTTTGATGACCTATCAAATACCATTTGTAAAGCTGCTGACATGGTGAGTTCGAATTGCGTCTTACATTTCTTTAGGAGTACCAATAGTTTCGTAGTGATTGTAGTGACTGAATACTCTCTTTGGAGTAATTGTATTTTGGCTGAACTAATAAAACCAAGGTAGAATGCGTGCGACAACTTCATAGCGATCCGGCTTACAACGAAGCTGCTCAACACTGCGCAAGCGATTATTGTGAACTTGTAGAAAGGTAGGTTGGTTCACCTGATTTCCTTTTGAACATTGCGACCTCTCCCAGTTTCTATGTGGCAGTTTTAGTTTGAACACTTACACAAAATTGTATCACAAGCTGAAGGACTCGAAGGAAACAGAAGCTGATCGGCTAGACGACGTAGACAAACATACCATCGATTTATTTCTCAATGAGTTCGAACAGTCTGGTGTACACCTTCCAGAAAAAGAGGTAGGAGAAGTTCTGCAATGATTACTTTGAAGATTTTATTTTTTGCTGAAGAAAACTCCCTTTCTTCTTTTTCTATTTACGTCAGCTATGGTATTTTAGCGAGCGGAGTTCGTTCGATTATCTGGTGAGATTTTCAACGCTAGTACAAAATTTCAAATGGGCTGCGACAAAGAAGTTATCGTAGGCAGGTGCGTGACTTTGCATAACATTGATGTAATGGAGTTTTCCTCTGTTATCCAAATAATAGCTGTTTATGTTCGCCATGTCCTATACGCTACAGGTATCGGTATTCGCTTTTCGCCTATGTGTAAGCCATGTGCAGGTTTCTTCCTTCTCCCTTAATTTCATTATTTTCAGAGCTCAGAAACATCAATACGGCCTTGAGTCAACGAGAATCGTATCCCCTGCATCGAACTGCGTTGAGCAGGCAAAGAGGCGTTTTATCCACACAACCTATTACCGTCATAATGACACCCAGGTATTTTGGACATTCATCTTTTTTAGGACGACAGGCTCGTTTTCCTGTTGACTACGTGAAAAACTCATTTTCCTTCTTTAATATGATTTATCGATGTTGTTTTTCATGGTTCTCTAATATAGGAAGAGAATCTGCGCAATCTTGTCCTTCATCGGGATGCGCTCGCAAGACTGACTGGTTATCCGTCATACGCACACAGAGCGCAAGAGAATAGCTTATTGGGCTCCTATGAAAATGCCCACGATTTTCTGTGGGGTGTCATACAGGTATGTTTTTGGAATCTCTTATATTGGGCACTATTTCATATCTGGTTCGAAATTCTTATGTTGGCCAGGTGCAAATTAGGGAAACTCATAAGAAACTTTGAACGGTGAAAAACTAAAGAGCTCAAACTTTGAGTGTAAAAAAAACAGTTCTTTCTTCACTGTAGGACCACATATACCGGTGACACTCGAATTACTTTCATCAGCGTCGATGAAAAAATTCATTCCCTTAGAAAAGGCGGACTCGTTGGTGCTTTCAAACGCATCTTGGTCCATTAAGAACACCTCATAGGTTTTCCGCTCCAGTAAGGTTTTCCGTAATAGTGTAGAGTCAATCAACGCAGCATCACACAAAATCCATGCCGTAGATGGATAACAGTATGGGAATATCGCAAAGTCCCGTTATGGCGCGCGCGATTTCCGGATTTGTGTTCGGCTTGCATAAATTTAGTCAGCGAAATTCTTATAAAAAACCCCGAATAGAGTTTTTCTTGAACTGTCGAGAAGAAAAGATTTGCAAGTACAGGCCTGTCGACCATCAGCAGAGCGAGAAATAGCAGTACTGTTGGATGTACAATCGCAGTGTAATGGGCTATCCAGTAGCATTGGCGAATGGGACGTACACTATCTTTCGCAAATTTACAAGGTACCTTTTCCGCTTTCTTGTATAATACGTTTCTGCTCGTTTTTCTTCTCCTTTAGTGTGGCAATTAGCAACAGTGTTTCTTCGAAATTTTTTGCATTTGTTTTTTCCGTTTGTAGAGATCATTTCTTAGCCTCAATTTTCAATGAGTGTGATTATTAATAATGGGGTGGAGGGGAGGAAAGGGGTGGCAGATGACGTTATATACTGAAGACGGCGGGGGCAGTGAAGGAGGGCCTGCTTCTGTTTACGGGGAACACCTAAGGAATATTCCGCCGTAAAACTTTCATTAACATCGGCTCCCTGTGCGACGAAAAGTTCGATGATGTGCGCCATGGGCACAGTGTGTCTTTTTTGCCACCCTTGTCGACCAATCATGGAAACAGGAGTCAACCGCCTTTTGTGCAAAGAACAACGAAGGCTCCGTATTTGGCCAATGGATTAGGAGGTGGTTGTGACCTCAAATTCGAAACACCAACTTTGAAGGTGTCAAGGCATGGCTAACTGGCAAAAGAGGACATGCTTTAACGACTACTACGACTACGCACCAAATGCGGTTGAATGACGCATCCCAGAGCGAGGTTTCTTAAATAAAAACGTCATGCCCTCGTGAGCACAAAAAAATCTTCAGAGAAATCAAAGTAGAGGAAAAAGCGGCGCATTCGGTGGATTGACCTTCAGAGTCTATAGAAAATTCTGGCGGGAGAAAGGTTTCCCTTTCAAGATAATCTAACTTATTTTTCAGGAACGTGCTTATGGAATCGAGCATTACCACGAAATACATAAGTTCCTCAATCTTGGGAATTTACTGAGCGGTCTTGCGAATCTGCTCAATAAGTTGTATGGAGTGCGTGTTGAAGAACAACGGGTAGAACGAGGCGAAAATGTGGGAGGTAAACATAAAATTGGTACAGTTGAGATTTTACTGTACCGGACTGTATTTTCTTAGAAAGTAAATGTCCTCACGTTTAATTACACGAGTAATCATTCATCAACGGGAAAGTTACATCACAATGCACTGCTGAGACATCTATTGGTCAGGGATTTTCGATTTGATATCAGAGCCGGATACGATAAACGAGAATTTGAATTTTTTTTGCAGCGTTGCGATTTAAAATTGAATGCCTTATTGAACTAGTGAAGCTTCGTAATTTATTGTAATTTTCCAATCTAAACGAATTAGTTTCTGTGCCACGATCAGCGCTGAATAGAAGGAAAATTCTTGGTCATAGAGTAACAGCGTCACCTTAGTGATACGTTAATTGAGGAATTTTTCTTTCGAAACGCTGACCTCGATACGATGCAAAGTTACTCTGTACTCAACTACATGTAATAATGTACCTGCACAACAAATTTCAGGATATCTTCAGTGTTGAAGATCGGTTTCTTGGGACCGTGTATTTAGACATTGATCGTAGGCCTACAAAAGCCGTCGGTGATTGTCATTTTACCGTGCGTTGTGCAAAGCAGGTGAGTTTTATGCATATGCGTCAGCGTTTGAAATTATTTTCCAAGAAAAAAAGATTTGGGAGGGTAAAAGTCTCTTTTTAGTTGAAGGACGGCAGCTGGCAAACACCAATAGTGGTTCTTTCACTGGCTATCTGTGACCAAAACGATGTCGATTGGAGATCTATACCGGTACAGCTTACTCTTCTACACAAGTTTTTTTTTGAGAAGTGAAGTGTTTTTGTACGATCTCCGATTCTCAACCTGTGTAAGATGTAGGTGTTATGTGGGCCGTAGACCGAATGATCGCTTTGCTTTGGATCCGTAATTTGAAATATTATTTTACTGCACCCTATCTGTCTCTTCAATTAGTTCTTATGACCACTTCAAAGACTTGAGATATGCTCCGACACGGTCGACTCATACTCATACTCATACCTGACATCATACGGTCGTATCGGGCATTTTCTCCTCCAAGTTGAATCTTTGAGGTGTTCTTATCCTAATTCTTACGTGAAGGGTGCAGTGAGCCCACCGATTATTGTCGTTGTTTTGAAAACCTTAACATGTTCGCGACAACGAATGAAAAGGTTTTCTTTTCTGAATCATTATCGAGCATATTTGCTGTCAACTGTTACAAGCATTTTTCAAACATTTTTCCGGGTACGTTGACTGTTTTGAGGGTCTGACTATTCATTCCTTTTGTCATAATATTGAACAATCATATACTTTTATCATTTCCCTTAATTATTCAAGGTATTTCTTTTGTTCAGATTGATATGCATCGCGCAGAAAATGTTTTCCATGAAATGGGTCACGCGATGCATAGCATGCTCGGAAGGACAAGATATCAACATGTGGCAGGTGAACACAGAGAACTTTTTCTTGATTTTGTGGTTTAAGAAATACTCATTCAAGGTACGCGATGTCCTCAGGACTTCTCTGAAATCCCATCTATATTGATGGAATACTTCTTCAACGATTTAACGGTCAGATTATTTGATTATCATCAACCTTGTAAACCTTGTGATCAAAGCAACATGAGTTCCTTTCTGAGGAGGTTCTTCAGCACAGTCCAGCATGTAGTGGTAGTTTCAGGTGCCCCGTATGACCACCTATTCTTCTCGAAGCAAAGATAAGAGCCCGCTTACATAGGGCTAGACTTCTCGAACTGGCTTTTATTAAGGCGTGTTCTCAAGGGGTGTGTTCTTGGTTAATGGGCGGCGATGTTGCAGTGGTTGGCCTCACCATCGCTATGTACAATAAGTCGACCTGAACATGGTTTCTATGAACCATAGCATTTGTGATTACTCCAGCAAGTTCCTTCTTGATTCTTCATTGATTAAAGTGTGTGAGAAGAGGTTTCATAGGTAGAGGTTACCAGCAATGCTTTCTGCGAAAGCTAGAATATGAGCAAATTTTGTGGTTGTTGCAGTTTCGATTGTACATTGTGTTTTCCCAGTTCCTGAAGTAATTAATCCCTTGCACGCTTCTTGAGACTGATCGTAAATTGATTTGTCGATTTGTGATTTTGTTAATGATTTGTGTAGGTTTTTGATCAAAGGTAAATGCGTACTGTCTAGTTCGTGCTTATTTCAGGTCCTGCAATCTGTACTCCGCAACCCTGATGGAGAATGCGTACGTATTGAAGATGCGGCCTCCATGATAGCCTCACGTTTTGCTTTTTCATCCCTAGAAATTATGCAGCAGGTAACTGTAATACTTTGGTTTCATTGCTTTCATGAGGTATATTTCTTCTTGATTCACAAAGGGCTGCTCAGTAATTACTACCGAAAGGCTGTACTGCTGTGAAGGGTGAGAGGGGTTCAGTTTCATCATAATATTCAGTTGAAGAAGTGATGCTCTCCTTTTTGAATCATGAATCCTAAAGTATTTGTTCAACTCTCATCGTTTCAGGCCTCATACGCTTTGTTCGACCTGGAACTACATGCACCTGATGCGGCAAGACTCCTGCGTGAAGGTCGCATCACTACGACGAATCTTTTCAATTCTATTATCACTAAGGTGCTAAATTGTTGTACATTTGCAAACATGGTATATACGGCTTATAGTTCGAATCCCATCTGGAGCAGTGATAATTCCCACCTTTTTAGGCTTTGCCACACTTGGATCGGCAAGCAGATACTGCTTTCCAACATAGGTAAAAACGTTCAGGATTACAACTTCTCGTTAATTTTTTGTTCAAAAGCTTATTTCTCATTCACCGTTTTTGGACACTCGCTGGTCATTTCAGGTTCGTAATCAAAAATAGTTTTGATCATTTAGGTTCCATCATTTGGTACAGTATGGTGCGAAGTATTACTCTTATATGGTAGCGAGGTCTGCTGCCAGTTTAATATGGAATTCGAAGTTCAGAGATTCACCATTCAGTAGAACAGAAGGAGAGAAGTGGATGAAGGTTCGAATTGTACTTGAGGCTTACCTTCGCCTAAGCAGTTCAAATTTTTTCAGTCTAATTCTCAAGAATGTTTTTGAAGGTTCAATCGTATGGTGGTGGATTGCCCTCAGCTGCATTACTAAAATCCATGTTAGGATATTCTCCAACTGCAGTGCACTTTATTGAAGCGCTCAAACAAGAAACCTCTCATCTCGCGAATCTCGGTGCTGTTAACGTGTAATGTCCTTCAGTTTTGTTCATCTAGTTTACAAATAGTTAGTCTCCTCATGTGCAATTCATTGAACAGATCGCATTGTTAGACGATTGTTAGTTATTGTTAGATTTGTTGATGCTTTGAAGTCATCCAGTCGTCGTTTGCAGCAGACAGGCTGTACCGCAAAGCTGCTTGGACTGTTTTGTAACTACTCTTTGAAAATTACCAAACGGGTATAATAGAATTTCCATACGGTAGTAAAAATGAAGGAGATATTTTGAGGAGTGAAAGTTACGCTGGCATAACCTTTGAGTATACTCTATTTCCCAGCATTGGCATGTCCTAATTACCCTAGACAACACTCGAGGCGACGACAGCGGGAAACAGTATCTCCTTTTGATGTCCTTGTATAAATTTGGTGCCACATATGTTGTTGAGTGTGCAGTTACGACATGTCTTTGCGCCGGAAAGGGAGGAAATATGAGTTTTCCGTCCATGCGCCAAATCCGTGAGAAATTTCTTACGTAAAATAAGAATGCTGCCCAGAGTTCAACCTTTCCTTGCTTCTTCGACCCATTGTTTACATCCTTCAAAATTCTTCAATTAATGTCTTCGCCCGTTTGCTGTATATAGTCTTTAGTTAGATATTTCCTTGGAGAGGGCCAAGTAGCCATCCCCGGCAAATTTTAGAATCCCCACGCTTACCGTAGTCTTTGGGTTTTTGAAAAGTGTAGTTGGCGCGATAACAGACAGTTAACGTGTTACCCTTGTTCATGCGTGTTAAATACATGTTAAGACAGGAAAAGGCGCGCGGGATCGGCGACTGGATGGCGTGAGAGGCTCTGAGATTGTTGTTTGTGGTTGCTGTCCAAAGTCAGACGTGTTCACATTTATTCAAAAAGATGTAGATAATATATAATAAATATGTAGATTTCCTGCGATAGTAGTGAAGGCTGCGTTTAGTCGTTGTACCTGCTCTATTGATGTTTTGTTTATGTGGTCTTTGGCCTCATCTTTTATGGGAATTCTATTTCGTTCATCATATTTTTTTAAACGAATTATATTTGTAGATGAATCCATTCGACGAAAAACGGCGTGCACGAGAAGCTGCAAGAGCTGGTAAAGCTTCTTATGCCAATTTTTGTTGACTTATTGTCACTATTTTGTACATCATACTTTTCAGAAATATTCGCTATTCGTCATCCTGAAACGGTTTCTCAAATCAGTGAGTATCGTGATCAGCGGTTTCAGGTACGTGGGCTAATTTTATGTAATACTATACCGCGTCGGTATGATTGAAATAGACGGCGCCTACGCAATCACTGGGTGTCCACTCAATCAAGGTCTGCTGCAAAAAAGCCGCTTTGAGGGGTGAACTGTGGCCTTTATTTTCTATACCTTCGAGTTATCTGTACGCTGTAACGAGAAGTTCGGATTGCGCCAGAACTGGAACAATGAAGCTAAGCGTGGGAATCTTAAAGCCTGTAGCAGTCAGGCCGGATGGTTGATTGATCTATTCCCTGGACGAAAGCGTAATGGAGTCAAAAGCCAGCGCAATATGGTTACAAAAATGGAAGAAGAACGGTAGAGATTTTAAGTTCTTGATATGACATAGAGAGATCTTGTTGTATTTGTTTGCATGGCTGTTTTTGTTGAATCTTGTTATTCTGGAAGATTTGGTAGATTACAGTTTTTGACATGTTTTGCTCTGTTAGTATTTTGAAAATTCTGACAGACACATCAACCTGCTTTCTTTTGTTAACAACGAATTCCTCGTGTCTTGCCATAGCGCCCAAGTGAGCAAGTGGGTGTCTATGATTGGCTGTTATCCACTAGCTAACCAAAAGCGCCGGTGACAGTAGAGAGCTTTTCATGTTTCGATAAGTTGTATTGTGCGCTATATCTAGAAGTGTCCTTTTGCTCGCGCTCTTATGTAATATCACTTCCTTCTAGGGTACGCTCAAAGAACAAGACCTTGCTCTGCGAACATCGACGGACGCTCTATATTAGGGAAGCTTATATTTCGTTATACAGCGAAGACCAGGGTTCTCGTTATTATTAGGTTGTCTCGAAAGTTCGTGCGTATTTATTGGATCTCATGCCACAAGCTCCTTCAACAAATTCTAAATATGTTCACGTAGGCTGTAGATAGGGCACACCGTGTAGTAAATTATACCCGAATCTTACCCACCATCGTCGCCTTCTTCGAGCTCAAAGTGGAAAGAGAGAAGAGCTATGTTTTTCGCGCTCTGACGTAAGCAGCTCTACTGAGCCACAAACCGATTGAAGCCAAAAGCGGCGTCTGCATCGCGGTGCATCTCCTTGCCCTCACCAACAGTGAGGTATCAGAATAGCTGGATCTTCTCTGCTTGGGAGACTACAGCTGGTAGACAAACCCTCGTTCAGAGAGGTCATCAGTGTCGGATTTGGAGAGCCTGTACTCTTTCCTGGGAGCCACTCCACACGGGGCTCCCTGCTTTGTGGCCACCACATCCTGATGTTCCAGATGCACAATTCGTGAAGGTTCTCGCTCCTTCGAAATATGCTTGAAGCCTCGCCAAAGATTCCCCCATGAATTGACCACCGATGACAGGAGTGCGACACGCACTCCGTCCATAATTTGGTTCCTACTCCACCCGTACGCCCTGGTTGAACAAAGCCACTACTGCAGTTGAGAAGCTCAGGTTTCATGATAACCACACCTAGAATCCTCAGGGACTGGATCGAACAGAAGAGGGTGAAAAGTGAAGAAATTCACCACAAGGTCGTGCTCCACCTCTTTTGGTGCGTTCTCGAGTAAAGCCACTAAAGGCATGTCAATCATTATAGCTATGAATTCACTCATGTGTAGGGCAGATCAACGGCAGAGACTCACGGTGAAAGTCCAACAACTGCCGTCAAAACTCAAAAAAGTGTGTACGCTCCACGACACCTGAGACTACACGTTTCGAAAATGAAGCGATTCTCAATATCGAAGCTTAGCTGAAAAGTCCTACCACATTCATCGTGCAGCGGTAATCATCCTCTTTCGAAAGACATCTGCCCTTTCTGCTCAGCCGCCTTCGTGCCGACAAAAAATACAATTCCCACGAGCACCTCAAAATCAACCTCACTGCCTTTTCCAGCTCATAACTGCCAGCCTTTTGAGAGTTGAATAGCCATTCCTTGGTTGGATGTTGGTAACAAGTCACTGATAGTGGTGGTACATATAACGATGATAGGTTGCACATGTGCTTGGAAAGAGCGGGCTCAAACATAAGTTCAAAATACGCACGAACTTCTGAGACAACCTAATACATTCATTTTTTTTTAGTATTCTTGCTCAAATAATTGTATTGTTTCGTTTCAGCTATACGAGTTATTCGGTCGTGCTGGAGAAGTAAAACGGGTAATAGTTGGTCTCGATCGGTTCAAAAAATCTCCATGTGGTTTTTGTTTTGTGATGTAAGTCGTGTAGCTCGTAGTTAATGCTCGCTCACCACAGTTAATAAGGTGTTTTGGGAACAGCGTGGGCTTTCTCCTTTCTTCAGCTACTATACCCGAGCTGATACGGAAAATGCAGTGAGATGCCTGAATCGCACGATGTTGGATGGGAGGCTAATTCGAGTTGATTATGATGCAGGTTTCGTTGAAGGACGTCAGTATGGGCGAGGAAAGCATGGCGGGCAGGTAAGTAGCATTCCTTTAAAGGACTCATAATGTAACTAAATTGTGTGTTATTTTCTGGATTATGTAGGTACGAGATGAGTATCGCGAACAATTTGATCCGGATAGAGGTGGATATGGTAAAATATGGGCAGATAAAGAAAGGAAATGATCGCTTGATCATGTAAGTTGAAGCGAAGTCGTCAACGTGTAGCATTAGATACTCTTTGTTTTCGTATTTTTTGTTCCTCTTCATGTATTGTGAGGTTGCGTTTTGGTTTTACGTTGTGAAGGTGTGATTTTTTTAACTATTATATTTCGTTCGATGTCCAAGCCCATTCATTTATGAGCGCTGTTTGCTAATGGTAAAATTTTTTGGAAGTCAGGAGTTGGGAATACAAGGAAGGTTCTGAGATGCTTTCATGAAGCGCTGAATTTCTTTCCGAAAGGAGCGAGTGCAGAAAGAACAGCCTAGACCTGCGCGCGCTACCTACCTTTTATTCAAAACTGCCCGTTAGTAGAAAGAGTACGGCTGAAAAAGAAACAGTTCTTGATCTGGTATTCATTGGAAATATTTTTTTTTGTTTGGATAAATGCGTCATTTTTATGATTCTTATTCTTATATCCGTTGAAAGCCGTAAAGACACTAAGAAGAGGAAAACGAAGTTTGATATTTTAATCAGCCCTTGTGACGTTTAGTTTCTTTGTGATACACGTCTATTCTCTCATTCATTTGTCTTTTCTCCTTTTCTATTAGGTGATTTGTATAAGGTCCAATCAGTTATTAAGTGACGCTTCATCTTGTCTCGCTAGTGAGAATCGATATTAGTTTTATTTTCAGTCCAGAAGTTTCGTGTTGTTGTTCCACAGACGCTGTGGAACGGTGAAAGGACTTCCAAGGGAAGGGGTCCAGGTCGAAGTGACCACCCACATTGAAAGATATACCATTAAATGTGTTTTTGGACGCTGATCTCGAGTATGACTTCCAAATCTGCCAAACAATTTTCTGAATGTAGATATAAGGTGCAGCCGACAAGAGAGGTGGAAGCTCATTTAAAATTGCTTCTATAAATTTTCTTCTGGAAATATTGTAAAATCATCAACTTATCTAAATAGTACCAATATAAAGAGGTGTCGTCGCTGAATAAGCTCGGGGCCATTTGCCCATGGCTGTCAGAAGCACTCGCAGCGCACGCGTGCCAAATAGGTGGCATATTCGCACTCGTTGGATCAAACTATTTCCTAGGGAAGACTATAGGGGGAGGACCAAAAAAGACATTTTGCCTATGTCAGACTTCGGCTCTTTTTTCTTCGCAGAGATTGCTGTCGTTGACGGGAGTTCCTCAGCAGAGTATTCCCTAAGTGTTCCTCTATTAGTGTACGCAGGCTCTCCTTCACTGCCCTCACCGTCTTCAGAATATGACGTCATCTGTCACCGTCGTCAGGCTCAAGGAGGTCTACCGTAAGAGCTTCAGCCTGAAGCTCTTACGCAATTTCGTGAATCGATTTAATGTTGGATAGTTTTCTAGAGGCATTAGCTACCACTGTGCAAATCCCCTCGGAACTAGCTTTCCAGTAAGGGTCGTTATGGTACACGATCCTTCGAAGACCCCATTGAGATCGACCAGTGCACCATGTTTCCAGGGCTAATTCTTCTGATGCCGTCCACGTACGTGGCCACTATGAAGATTTTCTTATAGAATGGAATGCACTCTTTAATAATAAGTTGGAACCGTTCGGTCTGAGTTGAGTAAAATGTGCTTAAATCCATCTGGAAGTGGAGGCAAAATGTCTTTTTTTGGCCCCTGTATATCTTATAACGATGTGTTGCTAGCATGGTGCCACCAATGGCCTGTACTCCTTTTCGATTTTACGTCCAATCTGAGATTGTGGAAGCGTAAGTCAGGATAATTCACCGAACTGGTACGATCTCTCTGGTATATTACAAATGACTGTACAATGCAGTCATGGGCAAAAGTGCCAAAGTCGGAGGAATTTGTCACAAACTCTTGTAGTTATGGGCAACTGTTGACGAAGTAACATGTTAATTAGCCATGTTGTTCATAAAAGTAAATAGTATATCTCAAGAGATTGATATCGCGACTTCATTTCTTCAAGTCGGTCACTATCAACTGACCTGTGGCTCGACGTCAGCACTGCCTTCGTCAAGCTACATAGTGGACGTTTTGTAGGACCCAGGGCAAGGCATTTCACATGCCGTTCAGAGAAACGTTTCGCGATTCAGATAAGGCAGATCTGGAAACATAGCATCTTAGTATAGTTATCAACCTATCGACTCCATTCAACAGCCATTCGATCATTCTAGCAGGAAGATGCTCCTTTGTGATATTGCTTTTAAACCAAGTGTGATATCTCTAAGCACACTAATGATTGGAAAGTGTGAGAGAAGGATAGTTTGGTCAGGATGCGTTCAAATATGATGTAATGATTCTCTATACTCTCTCTACAATCTTCAAACGAATTTCCCGTCGCGGAGTGCTTCGCTTCCATAAAGATAGCTCGAAATTTATGTTATCACTGGTCTTTCTTCCGTCTTTGCAAAATTTGTGTTACAACATTAAGAGAATATCAAGAGCTTGATAAAAATATTCAGGTCGGCTTAATGCAGGGTAAGAATTGGTATTAGTATTTAAGTTCAGATAAGTTGACAAGGCTTAAATGACGTTTGTCATTGGGGAAAGTTGCAAAAGCGCATTAGAAACTCACTAAATTACATTGTGAGTGTTGGCCGTGGTATGACGGAGAGACATGCTGCTAGGAGAGGAAAGAAGCGAGTGAGCACTTTGTACACAAGATGGCGCACGGCAGGCACACGACAAGACCTTAGCGCCGTTGCCTCGCACTTTTGAGTCGGACAGTGTCGCGCCTCCAGCGCTTGGGAAACTTCTTTCTCGCTCTGTGTGGGGCTATTTCTTGGCATTTAACCCCGACTCGTGGTTTGGGCAATCTGTTTCAAATGCGACTGGTCTTCAAATGGAAGTAGAGGGCGTGGAGCATTCATAGAATAGCGGCTGTTTTATTTCTGTACTAGTCGAGGCAATCCTCACTCGCCAGACTGCAACGCCCCTGTTGGGCATACGGCATCCAACCGTCCGATGGATGGTTATACTTGCTCTGATATATGTGGTTGGCACTATCCCCCCCTTCTGATCGCCGCTATCTTTGAGACATGTGTTTGCCAGCACATCATATCATGGCTGCATTCGGCACCTTTTACCCCCATCTTAAATTCGTAGTGCGGTATCACCTGTAGATCACTGGATCACACCCGACACACTGTTTGTAGCCATTGTGCTGCTCCTACACCGCCCACTAACGTATATAGCTCAGTGATGACGTATGTCATGAGCCGAGGACACTGGAATTCCGGCCTCCTTCCCGAGTCCGATGTCTTCTTGATCAAGTTTTCTCACCTTTGTGTCCAACACTACTGGCGACTTCATTAATGCGTTGAACGGTTACTGAATGGTGTTAGGGACAATACACTACCTTAATCTTTGCTCCGTATGCGAGAGGGGACATGACCCGAATACACCATGGGTATTTCTTGAGCTAGGATGTGAGTAATTTAGCGAACTGGTGGATTGGTTGTGCCTTTTAATGGTGCCAATCATTGTTGTCGGATTTCTGACAATGTGCTCGTCGCCCCGTAGCATGCAAGATTCTGCATAATTTCAATTTTTGTTTTAGGATGTAGATTTAGACGGCACTTGTTATCGGTTGCTAGTCTAGTGACGTCATGGTATTTCAGAATGGAGTTTGGGAATGTGTCTAGCCAGTATGATCTGGAAAATGTAGAACGTATGATGACACTTAGTTCGGAACCCAATTGGGACGAATGTGAAGGTCTCTATGCTGATTCAATGCAAATGTTTCCGATAAGGTGTGTTATTATTTCTGAGAAAACAAATGTTTTAGCATGTATAGTATGTACCATTTTTTTTTAATCAAAAGCT